ACATTAATAAAATTATGCAGAAATAAAATTAAAAAAGAATAATGAAATTATGATGTAAATATAATGAATATTTAAACGTAGGAAGAAATAATTAGAAGAATAATCAGAAGTAATAAATGGAAGTAACATATAAAAGAAATAATCAGAAGAAATATTCAAAAGTAATAAACAGACTAAATATTCAGAAATAATAATTGGAAGTAACATTTGGAAATAATTAGAAGATATTTATGAAATGATAACTCAGAAGAAATATAATATTAGAAGGAATAATAACGAACACTTAAATAATAATAATAATATTGTAAAGAAAATATAAGACAAATTATCACTCAAAGTGTAAAAAAGATTTTCAGCAATTAAATATTAATTTGTAAAACAAATCCTTTTAATAATGAGTGACAGAAATAATCAAGAGGTACAAGTTATATTGAAGCTTATCAAATTCAAAAATGCTATATATTTGTAAAACAAGAATTATGGCAACTATAACATGATAACTACCAAAAAATATTAAAGAGAATAATAAAATTATTAATTACATATTAAGTGAAATTAAAAGATTATATAGAACAAAATATAATGTTAGGTTATTAGATCTATAAGAATTATTATATTCGTATTATATAACCTTTTTTAAGAATTGTATTAGTTACTCTAGCAATGTTTTTTTTTATTTCATAAATAAAGCATATATTACGTTCTTGTTATAAATCTTAAAAAATGTCACATGTAATGATGTAATAGAATTGCTTAACAATTCTGTACTACATCTTAATTGCATATATATTAGGCAAAAGCATTATAAATTGATACAAAAAATATCTAACATTTTTCTTCGAACTTGAAAATGAAAAATACTTTTATATTCATAAACCAGCTTTATCTATAACTGTAATCAGATGCATATTTTTCGCAAATACAAATACATATATATAAAAACAATATTTTTACAAGCCTCTATACCTTTTTCTTTAAGCTCAATAATAGAAGAAATTTCTCTCGAATAATGTCAGGTATGGTTAAGGATTTTAATACAAAGGTACTTATTGAATACCTAAAGAAAAGTTTTGAAGTTATGGTATAAAAGCTGATCCTACAAAGTGATTTGCAGAATTTATCGAAAGTTTTAATCAGAAATTACAAACCTATTCCTTGCTCAAGACTCTCAATAACTTAAAGAAAATATTACATAAAAATAAGATGAACAGGGAAGATATAACAAATATCAAACAGTTTACTCCTGATAGGTAATTAATTAATTTTCAAAACTGACTAGATAGATATGTAAACCATATTTTTTTTTCTGCAGTCTTTGAGAAGATTAATGATGATGATAAAGTATTCGAATATCATATGGAAGATATTATCTTAAAACTTTTGAATGTGAAAACTATGACCAACACAAACGAGACAATATGTTGTAAATTTATTTTAGCGATATTACATATATCAATTACTATTGCTAAAAAACTCACTACTCAAGATATATTTATAGTTTTACATAAAGATGTTTCAAGTGAAGATGCTACTGGCTGAGTAAACTATGTAATTAAAAGTTTGAAAGACCTTTTTTGTATAATTGAAGGAAAATCACGCAATATTAAAATTGAATACGCTCAAATAAGTCTGTTTATCTTATCAGTCTATTGGCTTTGAATTAAGAAAACTAAATGGTGATGTATTATATTTCTTAAAATCTAACACAGCTTGAAAGCGTATTTCAGACAATAAAAAGAAATAAACTATAGATTAAGTATTCAGAAATAACTATTTTAATTATATATATAGTATTGTAATCACAGATATGAAGTGACATTTTATCATATATACTCCTGATAGTATATACTTTACAAGTGAAAGCGAATACCAAATTGATCTTATGAAGTCTGTCATTAAAGAAAATCCTTAATTACTTCGAAGCAATGTGAAAAGGGTAATAGGTATAATTGTTAGGCTACTAAAATATAGGGTTAGTGTTAATAGTTCCTCAACTAGTAAGAGGGTAGAATTGAAAAATTTATCAAAAAATAATATGTATTCTAGGCTATGTTCCAAACTATGTATTTATATATATTAATAAAAAATTTCAGCGAAGCCCGTCACCCAAAAATATGTGATATATTTTTTATTTTGAATAATTATGTATAAGGTTGCTTGTCTAAACTCATTTTGGATTTAACAAAATGGTTAACCTTTAGTTTCGCTAAAGTTTTATTAAGTGATTGATATAGTTTTACCATTTTTATAAGTTTTAATATAGTTTTACTTTTTTTCAAATTTCGCAGATTTTTTAATAAGGTTTTAATATAATTTAACCAAGTTTACTTTTACCATTTAGATGTCTGTCTAAACTCTTAATTTCATCTAGCAACCTTACCTATGTATAATGTATTAGTTATAATATATAAATCATGTCATTTGAATTTGAATCATTGAAATAGCATATTACTGAACTTGAGACTAAGAATACAGAGGTTAGAAAGGAAATTACTGTGATCCCTGATCTTAGAAACAAGCTCTCAGTATTTAATGCTAAAATAATTGAACTTAAGCGTAGAAATATTGAGACTCTAAAAGTAAATAGGAAATATAATGAGAGGCGTGATGCTGAAAATGCTAAACCTAAAACTAGAATGAAGAGTTAAAAAAATAATATTAAAGAGAATGCTAAATTTAGAGATCGTATCATGAAAGTAAAACAGAATCAGTTACAAAATGACTTAAAAAAATATCTTAACAATAACTTATCTAACTTCAATTTGGATGTAGACTAGAGTTTGCTATGCGAACACCTCTACTATAAAAAGTCATCACAGGAGAAAGAGATGAATAATTTTTTGGATGAGAAGCATAAGAAAAGCATTGGTGAAGATTAGGTGACGTATAAGAAGAAGAAACTCCAGTGTAAATCAGCTAACCAGGACAGTATCTTCGATGCTGCTTATATATTAGAAACTGTTAACATCCTTATAGTGGATTCAAAAGTATCACACAATATAAAGTCTATTAACAGGATTTCTGAAAATTCTGAATTATTACATGATAAAAAACCTATTACTATAAGTAACAAGTTTTTTTGAAAATTCAGAATCATCATATGAGAGAGAAACTATTACCAATACTTTAACCATCTTTTGTTTAGAGATAGAAACAAATATAGAGACTGCCTTACCAGCTATAAATAATATAAACGAATGAGTTTTAGCTACTAAATTCGTACAAGATTTATTACAGGAACTATTGTTACCAGATAGTTAACTTCAGGCTATAATGTTTTCTCCTCCCAGAATCCTAATACCAATATCATTAAGCATCAAAAACTTGCCAATTTTTTCTGCTAAGAAAAAATGCAAGGGATAAATCAATTGTAGTAAAGCGATCAGAGATTACATTATGGTGTTTATTCTCTAAAAGGTTTAAAGATAAAGTCGTGAAGCTGGTCTAATGATAAGAAACTTACAGATTAGACTGTAAGAAAGCAGAATTATAATGAAATGAAGTATTACCTTACAGGTATTTTAGATGGATATTTATGTACAATTACCTGTAGAACATGAAAAATCAATAAGTTGTTTAGATATAAATATGATCTCATAACTCTGAAAAAGATAAAAGGTATAGGTATATATATGGTTCAGTGGTCACTTATAGTGCTTATAATATCTCAAAACTCACTAATTCACAAATCTGATACATTATAAATAGTGATACCTGACAAAATTACCTTTCTTAATATGACGAAATTAACAAAACTGAAATGACAAAACTAGTTTTTTATTAATGACGAAATTATTTTACTTAATTGCTGAAATTATATTTAACTTGATCTAAATTCGTTGAATTAAAATACATTAAAAAATATAATAATTTTATATTTATTCATATAAAATATTAAAGAGACGAAACTTTTGACGAAATTACAATTTTTCAAAAAAGAGTTTAGTTAGGTATTATTAATTATAAATTAAGTTAATTCTGTAATAATCGTTAGTAATCATCAGAGTTATGTGAACAAAATCTCTGAAAGCGTAGCTACTACTTTAGCTCATAACTCAGATGATAATTTTAGTGATACATCTTATATTACAGATTATTTTAAGAAAGAAAAAGGAGTGAACAATTTGATTAAAGAGGGTTCTTTAAAGTCTGAAGTAATCACTAAGGTAGACGATGATGATGATGTATATTTATTCTAAAGACAAGAAAGAGAAAGGAACGAATAAAGAAGTGTCAAAGGTATCAGATATGATAGATGATGATAGTGACTGTAGTTACAATAATGATTTTGAAGAAGAAATACCAGACGATTCAGATAATGATAAATATAATAGATACGATGGGTATAATGAATATAGTGAACGTAATTGAGGTTATTATTATTATGATAGAAAATATGAAAGGAAAGTATCATTAATGATAAGTCCTATTATTTTTTTGGTAACCACCTAGGAAAATTATCGAGCAGTTTGCATACTTAAATTATTATTTTTTTTAATTCTTATATTCTATGTACAGTAATACGTCATTTGTGTCATGTGATTTTGTATAAACCATGGTAATTATTAATAACTTTTAAGAAAAATGCTTTTGTAATATTTTTGCTCGAAATATAAAAATGCAGAATCATGGTGGATATTAAACTCACTTGCCGTCTCTTTTGAGATATTGAAGCAAATTCTAAGAAATTTAATATTGATATTAAAGATGGTTCCCATAATTATTTTTAAATTTTTAACTAGTTGCAACTTAAGTTACAATACATTGAGTTGCAACTATTTATGAATTTTATATTAAAATAAATTTACAAGGAGTTGCAACTTATCGAGTTGCAACTTCTTAATTATGGTATCAATCTTTAATTGATATCAACACCAGTAAAACTATCAATTCCCTTAAAAAGAAAATCTTAGAAGAAGTACAGAAGAAAAATAATAAAATATTTTCTGATATTAAGGCTAGTATCTTAGAGCTTTAGATAGTACATATTTGTGATGATAATGACAAATTCTCAAAATTCTCTCTGGAAAATGAAGATAATTGAAGGCATAAAAGAGCTTGAAGAAAAAATTAGTAATTATTGGAATAATGAGAACCTTTCAGAAGAAGGATTTATGAATGTTATTATTGATTCATCACTTTCAACGGCTTTAAAATGGCTGAAAAAATGTAAGAAGTCAATTTGTTATATAGTTTGTGCGCTTCTACTAAGACATAGTTATCTTTTAACATGAGTTATATTTAGATGAAGGTGCAAGTAACTATATAATTCCAAATATTCATTGGGCTGGATTTCAAGATCTGTATTATGTGAAAATTATTAGAATAAATAATGTTTTACAAATAGATAAAATTATTTTAACACAAAAGTCTTTAACCAGTGTAAAGTAGCTGATTTTAATGCTGGTACTCTCTTTGTGTATCTTATTGATGGCAAAGAATAATGAAAGAAAGGGTTTTTTCATATAGAAGAACTTAAAAAATGGCTGGTTGAGTATAGTATTCTTAGTACTGATAGACCCAGAGAATATAAAAATTCTGGTGAAAATATTGAAATTATTTGTAATAGAGTGTGGCTCAGATATATAAAAGAGCGAAAAACTTATTATTTCAAAATCTAAGAGCTCAAAAAACGCTATAAAAACTTTGCAGTAAAGTTAGAGTTGAAATAGGATGCTACCAGAAGGAAGGAACAAAAATATTGCACAGCTTAAAAATAAAAATTTAAATAAATTTTTTATAAGTTACTAGCTATGTGATTTTTATCTGAATAGGTTAGCAGTTGCTTTAAAGGGTTATTTGTTTATTGTTTTGATTAAATGTGTAGCAATTAATAAATTCACTT